TCGAGTCCCGCATCGGGCTCCCTGCTCCTTGGGAGCCTGCTTCTCCCTCTGCTTCTCTCTCTCTCTGTCTCTCATGAATAAATAAATAAAATCTTAAAAAAAATAAAAACAAACAAACAAACAAAAACACTTAAAAAAAAAAAAGAAACTGAACTAGGGCTATAAGCCAGGTACCCAGAGTGAAATGTCCCTGTGGGGCGCCCAGTATGAAAGGGGTCTGGGGTGGGAAAGAAAAGCCGGTAGAGAAGAACAAAAAGAAATGAAGGAAGAACTTCTCAGTAGGGCTCACAAGGCCTGGCCTACAGTTCTACACAGAACCTCTCCTCTCTCTCCTCCACACAGCCTATGCTTCTGCTACCCAGGTTCCTTGCAGCTTCGGCCCGCACCATGGGACACTACACCTACTGCCCCAGCCACTCCTGGAAAACTGCTCATTGAAAACCCAAGCTTCCTGTGCTCTGTGAGGCCTTCCCACTCAGCCTCAGGACCCTGGGCAGGCCCCCCACAAGGGCACCTGCAGAGGAGCGATTTCATCTTTCCCCAATGACCGCCTTGTGATCCCACCCAAAGAAGGCTTGTGGTAGAGAAGGAAAAGAAGAGAGACAGGAGGAGCCCAGGATCACATGAAGTGGGGAAGGCCCAAGGACATGGAGATAAAGCTGACTTTAGCTCTTTCCTATGCACACCCACCCCTTAGTCCCTGGTCAGGACTGCAGTGTACTGGATGCCCACAGAAGGATCCAGGCATTCGGCAAATAGGAAAGGCAGTGAGTGGTGAGGCAGAGCAGCCGGGCATCCGATCAGCAGCTTTATGTTTGCACGTACATAGATTATACATAAGCTGCACATTTACAGGTGAGACATGGTACAGGAGGATTCCTGGAACAAGGGCCTTGCTGAATGCTGAAGGAGCAGACATTCGGCTGAGGCCTACAAAGGGGAATGGCAGTGGGGAGGAGTTGAGAGGCAGTCTTCTGGGCAGAGAGGTGGGCAGCCATGGGCACAGCTCTCTGGGGAGGGGCAGGCCTCCTGAGGTTGGGCCAGGGCGGCCAGGCGCCGCTGTACACACTCCGCCGTCAGCCGCGCTTCTGGGTCTGCATCCCAGCAGTCCTCTAGCAGCTCTCTCAGGCCGCCAGGGTCCTGGGAAGAATGGGAAGCAGGCTTAATCCTGGGATCCTGGGGCGCCTGGGTGGCTCAGTTGTTAAGCGTCTGCCTTCAGCTCAGGTCATGATCCCGGGGTCCTGGGATCGAGCCCTGCATCGGGCTCCCTGCTCCTTGGGAGCCTGCTTCTCCCTCTCCCCCTCCCCCTGCTTGTGTTCCCTCTCTCACTGTCTCTCTCTCTCTGTTGAAAAAAAAAAAAAAAAAAAAAAAAAAATCCTGGGATCCTCAGTGGCTCCCTGAGTAGCCCCAGAGTTGAAAGGTGTCCACCACTACCCTGTTTTCAACACTCCTCTTTTGATCCTCCCTGGGGCCTCCCTCCCTTCCCCCTCCCTGCAATCCAGCCCTCTGCGTCTTGCTCCCAATGAGACAGTTCTTTGGGTGTCTTCCAGAGGGTCCCCCTTTTCCTCTGAGGAGCTAATTCAGGTTAATGACTTCACATGCTGATGGGAAATTACTCTCCTTCCTCTCAGGCAACCAGGGTCTTAGGCAAACAATGTTTAACCCAACAGATACTTGTGCAGTAGAGATTTCAGACCAGGTAGCAGGGAAAGGGGCTTCCTGTTAGGAAACTAATTATACAGATCCTGAAATTTCACTGTTTGGCCACTTTTTTAACCCTTTATACCCAGGACTGGCTTTTCTTGGGTCATGGCAGAAACACAGATGTGTGGGACAGGGTGAGGAATTACCGGACTGAATGCTGGGCTCCACTGTACCAGGAGAGGAGCCATCTTGGGAGCAGAGCTCAGGGCAGAAGCAAGGCTAAGGAGGGCTTCCTGGAGGAGGGGACTGAGAAATAGGGCTAACCAATGGTGGGGAGGAGAGAGACAGACCAGGCAAGTCTGAGCAGGAGGAAGGTGTCTGTCTCAGGAATGGGCTGTGAGACTTATGGTAGAAGGGGATGAGCTGAGGTGCAGAGCAAGTTTGCCCAGCTCCAGCTGAACACGAGACAGGAGTGGTGGCAGATGAGAGGAGGATAGAAGCAGATGGGCTGGTCCCAGTAGACAAGTCCTTGAAGCCATGTCCACACTTTCCAGGTCCCCAGCCCACTAGCAGGTGGCCTCTTACTGTGGTGAAGCAGTGCCAGGTGGATGGGATGTAGGGGCGCCTTCTCTCCTCTACAGCCAAGGTCCACAGCTCACAGGTGGTGGGAGTGCTGCCCAGCTCTGCCTCATAGGCCAGTTGGAAGGGTGGTGGTCTGCTGTCTGGGTAAAGGCACGCGGGGCTAGGTGTCACCTTGCCCTGGGGTACCTCCTTGTGGAAAGGCCAAGAGGGAGAAGGGCAGAACTTCCTGGGTCAGGAGGTAGGTGCATCTAGAATGGGTGGATGAGTTATGGCGGGGGGGAGAGGGGGCACTGTCGCACCCATCCTTACCAGGCCACAAATCTGGGCAGCGGCTCAGGATCTCCCATAGGAGCAGAGCCAGAGAGTACACATCGGCTTGTCGGAGGGCCGTGCCCCAGTCCTGTAGGTCCAGAGTCTTGTCCAAGAGCTCTGGCGCCATGTACCTCTGGGTGCCAGCCTGGAGAGAAAGGCGTGGAGCGCCAAGAACCATCTCCCGGGCAAGCCTCACTGCAACGCTGGTCCATGCAACTTCCCCCCAACTAGAGTCTGCAATGTCCCAAACGCTATAGGTACTGCTGCACTGTTGTCACAGCAAAAGGCCCATCTCCATCAGCAACACTGCCGTCATCCTGGGCTTCACCCTTATCCAGAGTACTCACCTCCATGATGGCAGCTGGGCCTCGGGGTTGAGTAGGGGCCCACGTGGGAGGCTGGGTGAGGCCAGGGAGCACCAAGGCAAGGCCCAGGTCTCCAATGGCACACGACCCATCCTCCCGAATGAGCACATTCTGGCTGCTCAGATCTCGGTGGGCGATACCTGGTTTATATTGGCCTGTGAGAGAAGCCAAGGTTGAAGGGGCATGGATCCTCTTCCTTTCTCTTTGGACCCAATTCTTCCCCTCCGAGCTAAGGGAGAATCAGAAACATAGCAGTGTGGTTCCTGATTCCCATGGCTTCCTACTTCCAGCTCACCCACCATCCTGCCAGCGCTCCTCATGGAGAAATGCCAGGCCCTGCACCAGAGACAGTGCCATCCGCATGGAACTTCCCCAGTCACTGGTGTGCTGGGTCAAGTAGTGGCACAGGGAGCCCTGGGGAGCAGCAGAGAAAAGAGGAGGACACATAAGCTGGAGGTGGCTGATCCACCCCAGGGAGCAGAGATCAATCTACAGACTTCCCCCTGCATCTCCCAGCAGACGACATACTGATCCATCCAGGCCAAGACAAGAGGCAGGGGAGAAATGAGAACATGCGTCTGTCAGATTGATGGGAAAAATAGTAACCCTAGCTCAAGTGTCTGAGTGCTTACTGTGTGCCAGGCCTCCTGAAATCCTCACAACCCTAGGAGACATGTACTCCTGTCACTCTTCTTTTATAGACGAGGAGCTTGAAAGAAAACTAAGTAAACCTGCTGGAAGTCACTTGGTGAGAAACAAGTAGAGCTTGAATCCCAGAGGTCTGACTCTAGGGTCACTCACTAGTAACTACCTTATCCTGCCTAGGGACTTGAGACAACAACAGAAGCAGAAGAGGCAAGGTGAGCTCAGTGTGGTATTCCCTGTGAACCACCTGGCCTGTGGTGTCAGGCCTGGGTGGGAGAGCAGGCTCCTGGGGAGAGCTGCTGGCAAGGAGAGTGAAAGGTGGGTAGCAAGTGGAAACTGGGAGGGGAAGGAGCATTAGCGTCCCTCATTCAACAAACATTACTGAGCACCTTTAGTGTGCCAGGGAAGTTCAACAAACCAACCAACCCAAGAAAGCAGAGATTTTTGAGCTAGGCATTAAGGCACATGGTCAAAGAGGGGACTTCTCCGAATTCAAGATTTCAGAGGGAGAGGCCTGCAAGGGCTAGTAAAGTCCCAAGTCCTTAGGTGGCCCACAAGGGTAGGTGTGGTCTGGTCCCTGCCCACCTTGTCCTCTTCATCCTTCCTGTTCATGATCCTCCCCTCCAGTCACATATCCTTATTCTTCTCTCATGGTACCTCCTCTCTCAGCACTCAACACGCTTGACATTTGGCGCTTATTTTTGTGTTTACCTGATTCACTTTTGTCTCCTCCACTACTCTATAAAATCTACAAAGGCGGGGACAAGGCTGTTTGTCTTAGCACAGGAGGTATGGCATATGGTTCATAAATACTTGTTGAATGAGTGTGTAAATGGTTTGGAGGGCTGTGCCTGGAGGTATTTCCTTAAGGTTGGGAATATGAATAGTTTTGATTTCTCCTTCTCTATGTTTCATGAGTTAAAAATATTAGCAAGTATTTCTTGTCTAATAAAAAACCAAGAAAACAACAAAAAATCATTTTTACTGTCCTAGAGTAGAGGAAATCTGAAGCAGAAGAATAAACACGAGCAGGGCCCCGCTGCCACCCAGCCCTGCACCCACATACACACATGAGCAAAGACATACAGACGTCCCTCGGTCCTCACCTTCGGGTGCAGTTCCAGTACCAGCAGGGGCCCACAGGGCAGGGGGCCAGGGCCCCCTCTGCTGGCGGTGATAAAGCGGACAATGTGGTCGTGCTGTAGGCCTGGCAGTTCGTACAACGCTCTCTCAGCTTGGAACTGGGCCACAGCCCTCTGGGAGAAGGCCTTGATGGCTACCAGTTTGCCTTGCAGCCGCCCAGCCCACACCACTGTGTGACCTCCTTCCCAGATTACCTGGTGGGAACACAGTGCTGGGTGGGAACCTCTGCTGGTATCAGGACCAGGCTTCCTCCCCAGCACACCCTCTGGGAGGGATTGTAGGGCACCCCTCCCCGCCCCC